ACATAGTTAGAAAAGTAACTTGTTTAAACTTGATGGACTATTTTATCCCACCCAAAGGGTCTCTCATTGTATATGTCTTGGATAATTTATAATTGCCATGAGCAATTAGGTACACATARTCGARTCCYTTTAAATAAAAATCCATCATGCATCACAAAAATATGTTCTTGTATATCAACTTGTACAACATCCATGATACAAGCAAAATAAAGGTTAGTAAATAATAATTTACAAAAAGTATCAAATCCAAGTACTTTCCCCAGTTTCTCTTCTTTCATTCCTTTTCTCTTTTTCTTCCTATCTCCCTCTCTCTTACCCATTCCAATCATCTCTTTCTTTACTAGCGAGATAAAAGGAGGTTTCTGCCTCCTGTTCATCATCTTCTTGAAGAGAACAGCGGAGTTGCAACGATGGCACCTCTCCCTCATTTTCACCAATTTTTGGTGTACATCTTATCGACTTTGGATCACTTTTTCTTTTTTCCTCATCACTGTTATTCCCCGCTTCACCATTTTCTAGTTTCCATAACCATCCATCAATCCTCTATCGTTTTACCTCCATCTTCGACTGAGCAGTGTCATTAACAACAATAATAGCCCAATTGCATTGTTTATGTACCGATTATTGAAGGGATTGGAGATCCATCATATGAATGGCCGAACCCTGTAGGAAGGTTGAGCGAAATTTCAAAAATTTCTTCACTCCCATCCAGGAATCGTATTCTCAATTTAGAAAACTGCATTTTCAAGGTTTGTTCTTGTTACCAAACCAGACCAAATCTGAAACCAAGAATAGGGAGTGATATACCTGATACGGAATCTACACCAAAAGCTCCACCCAACGTAGGTGTTCACACCCAAAGAGTGTACCAAATCCTCCATCCACTAAAGATGACACAGCTTAGGATGAGGCAGGATCAACAGGTAGTTCTTCACCAAGAACTTATGATTCTTCAGCAAGAATTGAATGAGGTAGTGAACACAGCTTCAAAATTGTTTCTTCTAGCAAGAAATAATATCAAGATCAAATCTTGATTAGATCCAAGAATTGGAGATCAAATAGGGTAGGGCGGCAAGAGCAGGGAGAAAAAGAACTGAAGGCAAAAATTAGTCAAACTGAGTTGTCTTTGGTAATGTTTGTGTGTGTTTTTCAGATCTGCCTTGCTCTCAATTTATAGCCTTCAAGAGACAACCTCCTAATCTGATAAGGAGTCTCTTGATCCAACTCTTTATTTGGATCTGAACTCTTTAAGTGATAAGGATAATCCCTTATCTTATCTGCAGTTCAAGATCAGCCTATTCCTAATCAAATTAGGAGTTCCCTGATCAAAATCTTAATTTGGATATGGACTCTTTAAGTGGATAAGAGTTATCCTCTTATCCTTATTTGCT